GGGAAATGAGGAACAAAGTATCTGCCAGTGAGATATTTCAGATGGTCAAACATGTAATCAAAAGTGCTTCAATGTAGAAAATTACTTTTCCCATAAAAGAGTTCCAAACGGTTCATATTTAACTTGTGATGGACTGGTGTTTTGAAGGAAGAAAACAACTTTTGTATTGTTAAGCCTTTAAATGTCACTGGATTTTGATTTCTCAGTTTTGAAAGGAGCAAAGGACATCAAAAATCCAAACAAAGCAAAAATCCTCCTCTCACATTGACATTTCAGCATAAATTGTTGAAACTTTTTGGCTTTTTAAACACAAAGCTACTATGAAACTTTGTGGGAAGGAGACGGGAGATCATACAATCCATTAAATATTGTAAATCAAATTGGAAAAAAAAAAAAAGAAATATTTTTTCCTTTTAAAAATATGATTTGTTTTGTAATTGATGATGTAGATGTGGCCAGGCTGTAGGAAGGATCTAAAGTATTTCTGAGTTGAGGGCCTAATGGATGGAGGCCAAAAAACCCCAAAAAAGCCTTTCCACTTTTAAGTCAAGCACATTCAATATGGAAATCCCCATGTAAACATGAAACCTCAACTTTCTGTCTTTGCTGAAGTGTTTGTGGCAAAACTGCCTTTTCAGTTGTAGGAGAGGATAATGCAGTGCTAGAGAGTAAATTCTAATACATTACTGAGGAACTGGGTTTCTTTTGAAGCTGTGGAGGCTTGCATGGTTTGTAGGTGTTCTGGTGGTTTTGTTTATTTTTTTACTGTTTTGTTTATGGTTTTTAGAGTAGCCTTTTACATAGGTGAATGTGACTAGGACCTCTGAAAAGAACAGTTTATGAAAAGTACATTAAAGTGAAGAGGAGAATCAGGAGGCAGTACACAATGGTTTAATGCTGTCTCTCTATTTCTCAGAAAATTTAAAAGACATTTATTTGAACCTGTCTTCTTTATTCATTTGACAACTCTCTGGTGCTGCTTTGCTAATGTAGCCCAGTAGTACTATTGCTACAGATTATTGCACCTATAAAACTGGTCTGTGCTGATTTAGGGAGATGCACTTTGGTAATTTACAGTGAAAATTTATGTTCGTTGAGAAAAATAAAAGGTTTAATTGAAAGCTAATATTAATAAAATTGCCATTTATGTGGCATGTTTTGGTTTTTTTGTGGGTTTTTTTTTTTGTCCATTGGTAGTTTATTAACTAATTCAGCTGTGAACAAAACACATCTCTGTTGTGATCTCTGTGCTCAGGCTGCCTGTGTCTCCATGCCTGTCTGGGCATGTTGTAGCATTGTGTCTGTGAGAGATGTGCTGCCTCACTACTGTACAGTTCAGTATTCCACACCACAGCTGTCCTGGCACAGGAAAAGAGGAATGTGTTACCACCTTAACTCATCCACCTGCACATAACCCATGTGAAAGCAATACCATGGAGGGTGTGTGCATTAGCTCAGTGACATATCTGGAATTTTGACCTGGTTAGCAGGAACTCGAGTTCTAAGTTACAAATCCTACCCTAGTTTTTATTGTGTTAGCCCCATCAGAGGGCATGACCTTTAGTGGATTTGTGCTGTAATATGGTGTCACTTTTCTTCCTCCCTCCTTATGCATTTGAGCTCCTTTAAGGGTCCTCACAACAAATCTGAATGACTCTTAACTACTGCTGTGGTTTCTGTATCAAATAGATTATGGCAGGCACAGCTATGACATCTCCCCTCCTTGTAAGGAGCCTGCAGCTTGTGCTGTTTATTCCCAGAGGTAAATCCCCTTGAAGTGTTCAGAGCTGGATATGTTTCCTACTCATGTACTGAAGATCTCAGTCCATATATTGCAGTTAATGTTCTTGCAACGTGGCCTCTCCATATCATCTTCTTTCTATGTGCCTCACTGGTGGCTGCTGTTCTGCCCACCTGGAGTTCATTCAAAGAGCTCTGTTGTGTCCTCACTGTCCCCAAAGCTCCTGGTTTAAAGGACATGCACCATGTCCCAGACAGCTCTCTTCCTCTGCATCCATTCCTAAAGAACTATATGAAGTTTAGTCTGATTTTCAGCCTGTTTTGTTTGGTCTGGTGCTTGCCGTTCATTATTCATTGGATTTTGAAGGTCAAGAAAAGGTATGTAGCATAAACTAACTCATCTCAAATATGTTTTCAATGATTTACCATTGGCAGTAACCAGTCCTGCGTGCCTGCCCTTCCCCTCACCACTTAAACTAGAGAAAAAAAGCAATTGAAAGGAGTATTTTATACATGCATGCATATATAAGTAATCTAGAATATAGGAAGAAAGGAATATTTTATATATTCATGTATATATATAAATAATCTAGAATGTAGAAAGACCAAATACAATTTTGTTTTAAATAAAGGCTGCCATTTAATTTAATAACACAGAAAATGATTAGATCTTAAACCCTTATAAATTACATTTGACAACTCTCTGGTGCTCCTTTGCTATTCCTTATGGCAATTATAAATGGCAACAAAGGATTCTGGCAGAAATGCTCATTCTGACTGGAGTTTGTTTATTGTCTCTTAATGAAAAGTGATTAATCTAAATCACTACTGGGGTAGATCCTTCGTCCTGGTCCCATAATGAGAAGTGGTAGTTTCAGGCCTTTGACAAACATCCTGCCATTTCCCCTGCCAAAAGTTCCCTCCTGCTATAGCTTCCAGGAGAAAAAGTAGAAACAATAAAAAAAGAAAAGCCCAGAGTCTGTCACTTTTCTTTTTCTGGGTTCCATGTAACAAATGTGTGTGCCAGTCTGAGCTGCATGATGGGTGGTGGGCTTTTGTTCTTCACTCTGATTGAGCCTCCTGCTTTTTCCATCCTGCTCTGTGTAGGACCAGCCTTTCCTGGGAGGATGGATGACAGCAGGGATGTTGGGTGTTCATTTCTCCATTTGAAGAATGGAGAGTGGATGTGGGAACTGTGTGAAGGCATGGGGCACAATTTATGTGATGTCACCTCTAGATGTGATGGTTGTTCCATTCTTCCACCTTTCCTAGCTTGGTGCTGCAGATCATGTGTGAAATGGGAGAGGGGGTGCTTTGTGTGTGTGCCACTTAAGTTCCATGCCACTGTTAGCTGTCTTATGCTCCTTATTTGAGGACAGAACTCCAGCAGTGACCTTTTAATACAGAGTATTGTTAACTTTTTAATTTTCTATTACATCAGGTGGAAAATATTTTTATTTCTGAAGTATCCTTTATTTTAAATATAAGACCTCTCTGGATTGGCTTGTTAAATAGGCAGGCTTACATCCTTCTTCAATTCTGTATAAGCAAATAATTTATACTGAGCTATGTTATAGTTCTCTGGCACAGGCAATATGCTTTAGGTAAACAGGGACTTGCAGTCCAAGTCAAAAGTGACAGAAAAAATACCTTCAAATAGCTGTGAAATTGTTATTGTTTGGGGCATGAGAACATTGATATTTTGATCTGATTAGAAAGAAGAAATGTACTAAAACATCCTTCTGAGTGGAGATCTTGGAGACCTCTTCTCAGGCTAATTCCCAGGGGCTCAGCTGCCTATGGGGACGTTTCTCGTTCCCCAGACTGTTCCATCAGAGCACAATGCAAGTGCACTTCTTCAGGACTTGTACTGTGGCTTGCCATGGGAATGGCTAGAGATTTATTTTGGGGCTGGTAAGTGGTGTGTGTGAGGGATGTTGAAGTGCCAAGCTGGATTCATACAAATGGCTTCACTCTGGGAAAACGTTCACTTCTTGTTCAGCTTTTCATTTCTTAATGGAAAGGATCAGAAGCCATTTATGTTGTACTTCCTTTCCCTTGGTGGCTTCATGGAGTTAATGAGGTGCTTAAGATTAAACAAACGCTGAATTTTTTTGCTTGATGAAGGTCTGACATACCATGGGTTTTACTATTCCTCGTAACTGATTTTTGCTGTCAAAATTAATGTATTTCCCTATCGTAGCCTTGAAGTTGAAGCTCTGTGAAGCTGGATAAGAGAAGTCAATGTGGACAAAATCCAAAACTGCAGTGGATCACAGCTAGCTGATCATTCTGCAATGAGCTAAAAAAGGCCATTCCTAGATCTGTTTTCCTGCTGAAAGACAGTTTTCTATATTTGATTCAGCTGCTGTATCAACAACCTGCTGTGTTTAGAACAGCTCTAATTTATTTCCCACTGTTTGCCTTTATTTTATGGTACTGGTATTTGCTTTAATGTGAAGTCGTTTTCTCCAGATGTTAATAAGATGGTGTTAATGTTTCCACAACATTTTTCTTGATAACGTTTATGTAGAGCTTGCCATCTGATAGTACAGAATCAACCCATTTTAAAATATCGGTAATAATTTTCTAATTAAAATTAGAGGCTCAGAAGTGTTTTCCTCCCTGTACAAATTGAGGTCATGCACTTTCCTGTGCTTGGGGAAAATTATGTTTTCACTGACTGAATGAATGTCTCGTACTGTACAAATTGGGAGTGTGATATACGAAATTGTGTCAGTGTTTGCACATGTGCACGTGGACTATACCCAGATGCCAGCAGCTGATCCAGGAAGGCATTCAGTGTTTCCAGAGAGGTGATGCTCTCACTCATAGCACTGCAAGCTGCCAGATAACGAGCTAATGATCTCAGGAATACTCTGTTATTTACTTTTGGAGAGAGGATTCCACATTGGGGGAAAGAGGTGGTAGACAGAAAATGATCCAGGAAAGCCTGGTGTGGCTGCCTGCTATATCCAACAAAAATCAATTTTGATCATATAATTTTTCTTTCTTACTGGACTTGCTGAATTTATTCTGGTAAAATGAAAAAAAAAAGGAATTGCCAAATTACTCAACAAACAAATTTCCAAAGAAAATGAGACTGAAATGCTAAAAACCTATCCTAACTCTATGGGATGTTATACTCTTGAGTGATGTTCTGAATTCATCTAATAGACGTCAGTGCTGTATGATCTCACTTTTAAATGATGTTTACTTTCACTTTTCCATTAACACTTTCCCTCCATTTTTCTATTTAGATCATGCTTCTTAGTGATCCAGAGATTGAGAGCAGCATCCTCATCAGCTCTGATGAAGGAGCTACCTATCAGAAGTACCGTTTGAATTTCTATATCCAGAGCCTGCTCTTCCACCCCAAGCAGGAGGAATGGATCTTGGCCTACAGTCTGGATCAAAAGGTGAGCAAATGATTTAATGTGTCAATGATTTTAAGGCAGGAGTTGAAGGGGATACTGTCTAGAACTGCTCTGTTTCAGAGAAGATGAAGAATTTATAGTGTGCTTTGCTGTTCTCACTTTGCAGGTTTCAATGTGCTCAAAAGCCATGCAGTGACTCCAAAGCCAGTTTGCTAAAAGGAGCTGAGTGTTAGAGTTATTATGATGGGTGTGGAAGCTTCAGTAGTGGTGATACTATGAGAGATGAAAAGAATTAGAGATTTGACATGACATACGGAGCTGTTCTACAAATCTATTGATTTGTAGGCACTGATTTCTGTGCTGTCTCTGAGGATGGAGCACTCAGGCCGAGTTAGTCTGTAACAACTGTCTGTTCAGCATTGAGGGGTTCTCATTCTGCTTGCAAACTGGAGGTCAGGGAGCAGCAACAGATGGCAAACTCCTCTATGCCACTTTTAAGCCCCTTTGCAGTGCCTTCTATGAGCGAGACATCTCCAGTCTGTCACTTGTCCTCAGCATACATAGCACTCATCTGTTTTGAAAGGTGCTGAGCAGAGCAGGGGCAGTGTGGTAGTGAGGTGCTGTGGCTGAGATGTGAGCTTCAGCTCTGGAGCAGCAGTCCCCACTGCAGCCCAAAGCTGAGACATGGACAGGATGATCAAGTTACAAATTCTACAAAGTTTAAAACTTGCCAAGCTTTTATCTTTCCTATCTTGTGTTTCTGTCATCACTAGACTCTGGAAAGCAAAAACATGCTGAATAAGCAAAGTTTCCCTCATTGTCGTGGGTTGACCCTGGCTAGATGCCAGGTGTCCATCAAAGCCACTTAGTCACTTTCCTCCTCAGCTGGACAGGGGCAGCAAATATAATGAAAGGCCTGTGGATCAAAGTAAAGGCAGGGAGAGATCACTCAGCAATTACCATCATGGGAAAGTCACACAGCTGGGAAAATTAATTGAATTTATTACCTATCAATACTCTACTGCACTTTACTTTATCCTACCCTACTCTATCAAATAAGAGTAATGAAAAGTGAAAACAAAATCTTAAAATACCTTTCTACCACTCCTTTCTTCTTCCTGGGCTTTCACTCACAATTTTCTCTTTTTTTCTGCATCCCAGCAGCAGAGTGGGACAGGACATGGGGGCTGAGGTCAGTTCATCACATATTGTCTCTGCCTCTTCTTCCTCCTCAGGGGAGGACTCCTCAAACCCTTTCCCTGCTCTAGCACGGTGCCCCTCCCACAGGAGACAGCTCTCCATAAACTTTTCCAATGTGAGTCCTTTCCACAGGCTGCAGTCCTTCATGAATTGCCCCAGTGTGGCTCTTTTCGTAGGATGAAGACTTCAGGAACAGACTCTTCCCATATGGGTCCCCCATGGGTTCACCTTCACCTGTCGTTCCAGGGGTCAAGGGGTCAGCCTGCCTCACCATGGCCTTCACTGTGGGCTGCGGAGGAATCTCTGCTCCAGCACCTGGAGCACCTCTTCCCCTCGTTTTTCACTGACCTTGGTGTCTGCAGCGCTGTTTCTCTCACATATTCTCACTCTTCTCTGGCTGAAGTTGTCAATTTGTTTCTTGCCCTCACTTCATGAATGTGTTACCCCAGAGGTGCTACCCCTGTCGCTGGTGGGTTTGACCTGGGCCAGCAGCGGGTCCATCTCAGAGCTGGCTGGCATTTGCTTTCTTGCAGCTTTTCATGGAAGCCACCCCTGTAGCCTCCTCCCTGCTATGAAAACCTTTCCACACAAACCAGTGCATTAACCTGGCAGGTGTGGGGGTGTGTTCTGGGTGGGATTTTCAATTTCTGCAGTTACTGTTGAAGATTTCTAAACTAGTCAGTCTCACATCCCAGCTATAGGAACAATATAGCTAAAATGTTGTGCCTCTCTATCTGAGAATTTCCTTTGAAAGGCTAGTGCAGGTTTTTACCAAACTAGTTACTGAGAATATAATCAAATAATTTCCTATTGCTCTGCTTCCCACTTGCTGAAAGAATGCTGTGGCAGGCACCAGGTGTTTTGCTGCTGTGCTACTGATGATTCTTGAGTGACATTTGCAAGAACAAAGCTATTGTAAACATACTCCTTTCATAGTATCAAGTCCTTACTGTATGAAGGAGTTAGTCAAATGTCAAATAGTTTTCTGCACTCAGATGATCAGTATAACAGGGATTTTGAAGTAGGCTGAAAAGACCAATCTATTTATTTGATGTCACAAAATGGCTTGATACCACTTTTAAACTGGATGTAATGATTTTGAATGAACCTGGTGTTTATACAGACAGTTTTGGAAAACACAAAGCATCTGATGAGGTGGTCATGTATGTGAGAATCCAGATGAGACATCCTGAGTGTGCATTTGCAAAGAGATCCATCTGCAATGAGTGCAGAGCATCTGCTCTTGGGTTGAAGCACTGTACTTGTACTATCCAAGCTTTGTAATCTTCTTTCGATGTTAGTCACTGGAAGGAGAAATCAGAATACAGGGAGGCACATGTGATTGACTGTGAGGTGGTACTAATGCTCCCCTGTTCCAGTACAGCAATAGCAGACCAGGAGCATTTTTGCTTCTCCTCCTGGAAATGAATGCATCTGTGCTCACACCTTAGCTGCTGTCTTCTACCTAGGAGAAAGACAAGAAAAATGAACTGAGCTAGAAACACTCTGAGGCTGCTTACATTTTATCCCAGAAACAGAATAAAATTGTTGAAAGTGTAAGAGCAAAGATGAGTTGGTCTGTAGCTTGTTGGTCAGATGGAAATGGAGCAATGCCAAGTTCAGGCTTTTCCTTTATGTCTGCCTTTGTATTCAAGGCGACTCATGATGCTTTCCTTCGCTGGTCAGAAGGATGGCCTGAATTCAGTGTGGGTCCTAGTATGGAACCATGGAGCACTGCTTTTCCCAACTGAAATGTTTGCTTAATGTAACTGAGGTATGGATTGTGCTGAGCCATGTCTTGGGTCAGTGAGGGTTGTGAAAGTTGTCCCTCTGACTCAGGACCATGCAGCTTCACTGCAGTCCCAGGTGATCCTGAGATTAGGGGCAGTGCTGTTAGACTGTGACAGTGGTGCCATGCGAAATCCCCAGATGAAGTCTTCTGAGAGGCCAGTGTAGTGCATTCCTGCATGTCTGGAAACAGGACCACTGCCACAGCCATGTGGGAACCAGAGGTCAGGCTTGTCCTTCTCTCAGGTTAGGCCAGTGCAAGAATTAAGTGTCTTTTAGGCTTTAAGTCACCTATACTTAAGAATTCATCATTTCTTTTGCATCTTCATAAGATTGTTGTGGTTGTTCTCTGGTTTTATCCAGAAGCCAGATCTGGATCTCACACCTTCCCTCACTACTGTGCCATGCCTTTTCTTCTAGATGTGGTTATGGGATCATGCCAATGGCAATCACCATTTCATCTCTCTGCTGCTCACCAGAAAAGAGATAGCAAGAGCTTCTAAAATAAGTGTCTATAGAGGCTGCAGTGGTGCTCTGTAGTTCTGAGAAGGCTATCCAAAGGGATGCCATGCTGGCAGGGGTTAATTGTCCAACTGCAGCCTAGTCCTGCTCATACTCCTCTGTCCTTCGTTTTTGTGCCCAAAAGCAACATGAAGTTGCCTGGTACAAAACAGGTAGAGCTGTATCAAATAGTGCTTGCTTTCTCAGTTCATATGTCAAATTTCTGGGGATAAAACGGCTCTGAAACACTTCTGATTTGGTGCATGAGAGGACAATAAAATAGAAAATCAATCATTAGCCTGTAACCTGTGGGTAATATTTATCCACACATACTGTGACAAGGAAGGTGACTTGCTGTATGCTTTGCAGTGCAGCCAGTGCTATAGTGGGACACCATATTCCTCCACCTCTCTCAGTTTTAGAAGTGCGTTTGACCCTTAAATTCTATTTTAATAACTCCTTTAGGGGCAGATTTAAAAATGCAAATAACTCTGAAAACAAATCAAGTACATACAGTTTGACTCCAGGCAGCAGAAACTATTAAGGGAAGATCTAATCCATCCTTTTATAACTGTAAATGTGTAAATAAGTTGAAAAAATTAATTTCATATCTTAGATTAAAATATGTATTTCAGATTAATATTTATCTTATTAGTTTTCTTTCAGTTAAAAATAATAATAATAATAACAATAATAATAATAATAATGTCGTGTTTTAAGCAAGCTGTGGTCAGCTTGGAAATTAAAGAGAACAAAGAATCTGAAAATCTATTTTGCTTTTAGTATGTTGCTCCACACAGTAAAATGAAATAGGGACAGTTCATATTCCTACAGATAATGGATTTGGTAACTGCCAAGATCAAAATATTTTAAAATTATCTTGTATATAAAAATAGAAAAAATATTAAAATTTTGATATGAAATTGAAATAGTCAGTGTTTTGGATCTTCCCATTAAAAACTTTCCCTCAAAGATCTTCTGACCTACAGTTCCATGGCTGTGATTCAAGCCTTTTTTTTCATGATTGTTGATGTCATGATGTCTAAACATCCCTCCTTGTTTTTAGCTACTTCTGCACAGCTGACAACAATGTTAAGGTATTTATCTAGTTGATTAAAGAAACGACGAACCAACTAAAAAAAAACAACACATGTTGAATGCTCTTTTAACAGAATTATTGCCCCTTCCAAGCTGGTGTTTTGTAAAGTCTATTCCATATTCCAAGACCTTCTTCTTTAAGAGGAGGAGCCCATCTCTTCTCAACAGAACCTCTTGAAATATGGCTTCATACTGAGAAAGCCAAAGACTTTGTGATGCTACCATTTCCATCAACTGAAATAATTGAATATAAAATCAATTTAATCACAAATCTTTCATTAATTCCCACATAAGTACTGTCTTGCTTTTTCCTTCTTAGGGCAATTCGCAGAAGACAACTGAGAGAGATGGAGCTCAGGTGGCTTTCTAAAAGATATATCGTTGTGTGGCTGCTGGTTGATTTAAGGTCAAATCTCAGTTACCACCATTTGTTTTCTCTTTGTAGTATCCAAGGAGTTATTGAGGCTATTTCCTTGGTATGAGTCAACACAGCATATCGTTCCTGTTCTTAATTTTTATAGCCAATTAGGACCCTCCTCTGCCTTGCTAACTCTCCTGGATCATCACAAAAATGCAGCACGGCTGAGCCAAGAAATCTGTGTGTGTGGGCATGAGCATGTAGCAAGTTCATGGACCCTGATGTCTTCTCATAGCGTATAAAGCCCAGGCTGGAGGAATTTTTACAAGGCTTTAAGCAAATTTGGGTAGGTTTACTATTCCCCCCTGAACAGCCATGTGACATTGTATAACTATCAGGTCCTGGGAGTTTAAATGCATCTTGTGGGTTGAAAATCTTGGATCTCTTCCCAGTAGCTTTGTGTGTATGCACCTACTTTATTGATAAAATAGTGCAATCTGATGTGTGCATGTGTTGGTTCTGGTAATGGCCCCTGAAGTGGCCTTTGGCAGAAGGTGGACACTCTGTAAATGTTACAGACAATTTGCTGCAGGTCAGACTGGGTCTCACAGGGAGTGTCCATATTGACACCTGGATATATCACCCAGTACAGAGGGAAAACGGACCTGCAGCCTCCAGTTTTTGTGGGTATTTGCAGAAAATACATAGGAAGCCATTTTAAACAATCCTTGCCTCTAAATGTGGTGGGAAAGGAAATATATGATAAAGGTGCAATATTTTCTGTTGGAAAATGTGGGGAACAGCTCTGTGGAATGCCATGAAAGCTGAAAGTCTCCCAACACAAGCTTAAGGTACAGATTTCATTGCTGCCATTCGGTGACTGGGGAGGAATATCTTGAGTTGATCTTACATTTATGATGCTAATATGTTGAGTGTCTGGTTGTTTGTCTCATTTATCCAGGAAACCAACTAATTCTCAACAGGCAAAACTTCCCACACTGATGCCTCTGTGGGAAGTGATGAGTCTGGAGGTAGACATAGGAGTTTCCAACTCCATGGAGTTTCTCTCAGAATGACACTGAAACTTTCAGAGCAACATGCAAAACTCTCTTGCATAAATATTTTTTAAAAGATAATTAAAAAAAAAATTGTTTAAAAGACAAACTATTAGTGAATAGGGAGGGAGATATTTAAAATATTTCAAATCACCATTGTTAAAAGAAAAAAAAACTCCTGGTATGCAACATGATAGAATTCCACATCTTCCTTACAGACCAAATTGTGATTTAGAGCCTGGTGGGAATAAGTAAGAGGCAGAATAAATCAGTAATACATCAATTTAAATTCCCCAACTACACCATTACCAATTTGAGAGCATTGGATAAACAAGAAGTTGGGCAATCAGTGGCTGCTCCCTCCATAGAGCTTAATCTTCAGCTGAAAGTGAACAAAAGAAAGTGGGTGTCTCATTATCTCTTCGAATGAGGTGATAGATAAGAGGTGCAAGATAACATTCTGCTGTATCATCAAGTCACACCTGGCAGACAGTATCAGGTCTGTCTGGGGAGATTCCTTTGGTCTGCTAGATGTGGCAAGTTATCATCTGAAAATTGGATGCAGTGCATGTCACAGCCTTTACTATCTTGACTAGACACTCCTGAATTTATTTAAAAAAAAATAAAAATCACACACAGCACTGGGACTATATGGGAAAGTTTGTGTGGCATTTTTAAAATTTTTTATAAAAAATTTTTTTGAATTGTACTAGACATGGAACTAGAGCCATGAAGGCACTGTCTCTGCTCCAGGCAGAATGCTCTCCTGGAATTTAGGGCCAGTCTCCCAGTATGATATAGGGCAGTAAGTCAGCCAAGGGTGGGGCTGTTTGGTTGGGGCTTTTTTGACAATGTGCAGTTGGGCAGCGTGCTGCAAAATCCAAAATCCAGGGGGAGGAATATAGGCACCTTATTCCAAGCAGTCGTTCATCTTTGGGATTATTTGTGATGAGCTGTTTTCACAGACATGTGGAACAATCCAATTTGAAAGGGATCTTGAAAGATCATCTGTTCCAACCTTTCATGGGAAAGGAAGCCTAGATGTCATTATCTAGCACCCAGTCCGGTCCTGTCTTGTAAGTGCTCCAGTAAGTGCTCCTTGGTCTCAGATTTTTGTGCCCCTAAAGGAAACTTAGGCACACAGGGGCTTCAGGGTTGTGTTTGGGTGAGGCTATTGCATTTAGAGTTGGAACTCCTAATGTTGGAAATGTGATTCCAGGATAGCAGCTGCTAGTGCAGATGTGCTAAAATTAAGCAATGAGAGTTGCTGCATGTCTGAAGTGAGATGTGACTGGCCCAGGCCCGTAGGTTTTATTTCCTTAGGAACTGAGGTATGGGGCTGATGAGGAGAGGCAGGTTGGTGTCTGACTTACATCTCATTTTGATATAAATCAGCAGGCACCCATACCTGTTACCTGCTCCTCAGCAGCACTCCTGCTCCTGGAATTTAAATGTAATTGTAGTTGTCAAAAGTGTGGGTAACTATTCCTTTTATCAACAACGGCTCAAGACTGCACCTCTTGGGTAAAACTCAGCTTTTCTTAGCAAGATGTGAACATTACTTTTAACAAGGAAAGTAAGTTCTTTCTGCTCCTGTATGGATCCTCGTAGTAGAATCAGCATTTCATTGTATGATGTGAGATAACACACCAGGGCTAGTTTCTCATCATGGTTCATTGATATCTGAAGAGCACAATGACGATGATTCCAGTCCTGTGGATACAATGCTCAGCTTTCAGATTTATCTTGCACCAGTCACTTGACTTTTGAGCACCCCACAGAGTGAAGCTGGAGGCACACCTACGGCATTCTTTTCTTCACCCCGAAGGGAAAGAGATTGAGGAAGCTGCCATAATAGCAATTAGTCCTGCAGGCCTACCATACTGAGGAAGGAAATAACATGAGTACGTTGCCCACCTGGGCACATATAGTGCAGGAACACAGTGTTTCATGTTTAATACAAGCCAAATTATGCTCATAGAAATCTCTACCATACTGACTGGTCCATTGTATTGGACATTCATATTAAGAATCAATCCCTGCCTGAGAGTGCTTGCAATTAAACGTGAGGCTGACAAAGTGGTGTCCCCTGAGTATCTCTAGTGTATTCAGGCACAGGTCATTAAAGTGTTTCACTGCCTAACTACCACTGAGGACTGTAACAAAGTCAGAAACTGAGTGCAGATAGAGTCCTGTTCCCATGACTTAGCAACAAATAAGCCTTTCATCTCTTTGCCTTTTGAATACTCTTCTGAGAACATCAGGTTCTACAAACATATCATGTGTCTGTGCTGCTGGACAAGCCACCTGCCAGCAGCTCTCCCAGGCAGGCAGGGATCCATCAAACAGATAAACTGAAATGTTAGTAAAGTTAGAAAAACACAAACCAAACAAAAAGAACCAAACCCTACACCAAACCCTTGAGATTGGGAATATTTAAAGGCAATTTACAGAAGTCTCTTCTTCAATATGATAATGAACTGAAGAATTGAAATCACTTAACTTCATTTACAAATCATGAATATGTATCAGTGCCTTTAAATGAAAGGACGACTAAAACAGATATAGTGTTTGTTCAATTCATTAAAAGGAAGACAATTTATCAGGAGGTTTTTTTCCACCCTTAAACTAAAGCTATATGCAAATGTCAGTAAATCAAGACCTTGCGCTAATTCTGCAGCATGATGAATATTTTTATAATCCTAATTAGAACCAGTCATTTAGTTCAGCAATTTCCCCCAATCTAGCCAATTTGAAATTAAAATAGATGCCTTGATTACAAAACTCATTAGCAAAGAAGCACCCTTTTTGCTAACCAGTTCATTTGGAATGCACAAGCTGAATGAAGTGAGGAGCACTTGTGTTGTCAATTGCCATAACTGAAGTGAGTCTTAATTGTTGGCATTGTGAAGTATTTGTATTGCTGCATGTTTCATTGCAGTATAATATATTATTCATTAAACGTAACAAAAGCAGTTTTAAAATGATTTAATTAAGTGGTGTTGGTGCACCAGGTAATTTTTCTAAAGTCAGATGTCACAATTGTTTGGATTTGAAGTATTGATGGGCATTACCGTCAGAGAGAAGACGTATGACTCTACATTTATCATTCTGATTATGGTAGGCCTGGCAGTTTTAATAGGAGATGGGAAATTAAATTATGCAACCTTGGCTCTACTTCAGAAATGCCCAATGAATTTTGTCCTGGCAAAATACTGAACTTTGGGCTTGTGATGATTTGTGGTGGCAAAGAGAAAGTAACGGCTTATGAAACTTGATTTAGCCAGAACAGACTCTCCTATTGCTTGTTATTTATGTTATAGACACTTTATGAGCAGGTTTTACTTGGAAAAGAGAAATATAGAGATAAATGGAGCGAGACACATTTGATGCTTAAATGTGCTCTTCTGCTGGAGCAACCTAGTTTATTGTGTAACAGAGCAAGGATCCTGTGGCTTACTCCTGGGCCATGCTAAATCATGGCTGTATATTGATTTTATCTGGAGCCTAAGTGGGGTGAAGAGTGGTTATAAATATAGCAGATGGGAATAAAAATGAAGGAGTGAAGAAGGCTAAAGAATAAGAACACCAGGGGCATGATTTATTTTGCCTGACTGTAGAGATCTAAAATGTTGCGCTGTACACCTACATGGGGTGTTGAGGCTTCGCATCGTAGTTAGTGGTGATCTACTGAATGGTGTTGATTGATTTCTGGAAACAAATGTAGGTGACTCTTTCAGGATGAGGTAAATTGCACCTTGGACTCATTTGTATTGATGAGGCCTCTGCTGAGTGTCAAGGAAGTAATTTCCTTTGCTGAGATGTAACTATTTGCTGTATTACCTGAGATTAGTGGACTTGAAACCAACCCTGCTGTCTTGGATGTGTGCAAAATGGATTTTGTGGGATACGATTCCAATATGATCAAAACAGCAAAAAGCATTAAGTTTCCTAGTTGCTGTTATCATGCTTACAGATTCTAATGACTCTCACCCTGGAGGAGAGAGCAAACATGATGTGCAAGCAGAGAAAGCATTCCCAACCTCCTGTTTTTCTTTACCTTGTGGCAGCCAGCTGGATGGATGATGCTGAGGGGTGAAGGTACAGTCATTTCCCCTCATCCCCCCATAAAAGCAGCAGCATGTGTCTGTCTGTTACATCACCAGCAACCAAGAACAGGGGCAGCCTGTGAGGCTGCTTCAAGAGGGATGAACTTCTGTGTGCTGGACTGGGAGCTTGAAGACAGGAGTAGGAATGGCAGGCCTGGAAATAGCAGGCTGGCCCTTGCTCTCTGTTCTGCCCCCAAGGCAGAGGCACTTCAGCTTCCTAAAATCAAAGTCATTTTATATAGTTGAGAGGTGCATATCTGAGAGACAAAGAAAGAGAAATTCCAGAAGGTAGCAGGCAGGAGCTGATATTTCCTGGCAGAACTTGCAGTGTAGTTGAGGTGGGGACCCTGTGTGAGAATTTCTCATCAGCAGGTGCTGTAGTAGTAAATGGGCTGCAAGGCAGAGCAGGTCCTTCTTTTATGTTGTAGCACAGCAATCTATTTAAAGGCTTGTACATTTAATTTCGAATCATTTTGTGTCTATTGTGTGAAGCAGGTTTATGTAATACTAGGAGCTTTCATGTTCTTTCTCAGATTGCCCTTTGCAAGCAGGCTTCTCTCTGTGGCTCTTGCCTCTCCTTTTTGAGCCACAGCAAACCATCCCTGTCTCCAGAGCTTGTTTCCAGTGGGGAAATGGACCATGTTCTGATCTGATAGTGTACCTGAGGTGCTTTACAAAAGATGTGTGCAGTCACACCTAGCAGCTGATATTCATTGTGAGTGCATTGATTTTAGCAGGGAAGTGCTGATTAACATCACTGACCTGCAAACATGTATGGTATTCTTTTCTCACATAAAGCAAGTTAGATGTAGTTTATGCCTCCCAGTACACAGGGTTTTTTCCCCCCTAAAATTTGGCTGGTGAGAGATGCAGAGTCCCTGGGCAGAGGGCCAGTGTGCAAGCTCTTACTTGTGTTAAGGCATCTACTTATTTCTGTTCAACCTTGACATATGAAAATTCACTTATCTGGATTTTTTTTTTTATTTTCTCTTTTTTTCTCCCTTTTTCCCCCCTTCTGATAGAAAGTTAATGTAATCAATTTTTCTGGGGAATAAAGGTGCCAGAGGAACAGCTTTAAGTCCTCTGTCCTCTCAGTAAGCATAGATGAGTGAGTGTTTCAGCTTCTCATGCTTATTGTATCAGTGATGAAAAAGAAGGCTGGTTCCTGGATTTTTGGTCTAGCACCTCAGGAACTTCAATCACAAGTGTTTAGAAATAATGTATTTGTCCTTTAAAAGTAATGAGTTTGGCAGAGAAAAAATCAGGGAGGTGTTAGAATAATTTCAGTTGTCCTCTCTGATATGTCTCTTGATGCTTCTGAACTGAGGAAGTGTTGGAAACCATGTTTTTTGAATGCTTCCTCACAGTTAGTAGAATTAGAAATTTTACCATAAAAAACCAAACAAAAAAAAAACCCCAAGAATGTCCTGATTCCAGCACTGTTCTTCTGCAGGACATTTATACTTCTAAGACACGTATCTTTATTCATGGTTGCAAGTGCTGCACCTCTTCAGTTGTGTGTTGGTGCTTATTTCAGCTGGGTTTCCATATTGGTTGTCTGGGGGAAGAGTGGTGACCTGCTTGTGTAGGATGTACACACACCTGTGTGCAGGTTTGAATTTTTGCAGTAGTTTTGTGACAGTTACAAGAAGTTGTTCCAGAGTAATAAAATTCTTTAGTTTTGTGTTCAGTTGATTTTTATAGGACTATGGGTGGCTGTAAAATGAAAGGGCATGATGCAGTAAAATTTTGGCTCATTGGAAGTATTGTGGGTATGATAAAAGGAGGAGCTGAGGCACCAGAATGAAGGGTGATACTTTTGAGAGGAGGACAATTGATCAAAGAAACAACAAAGCTTAAAGCCTTATAGAAAATCCTTGTGATTCTGTAGTGCAAAAGGAGGAAAATGGGATCCTGCCCACAGCCTTCTACCTTGGAAAACTCATTTATGCCAGAGGTTCAGTGATCATAAACTGTCTGAATATAGATTTTGTAGCATTTTATACTTGCAGTGTTCAAGAGATAGCAGCACGTACAAATAACATGTTAGCAGAATATACTGGACCCAAGGGGACTTTCCTGCCATATAGTAAGAGAACAATAATGTCATCAAAAGTTTTACTGCCAAAACAGGACTCTAGTTTTGTCCTCTAACATAGCACTTGCTTCAGGCCAGTTGATTTTCTCAGATCTCAGTGCAAGTCCACAAGAGTTATGCACACATACCCAGTGGCACAAATGTCACGAGTCTGAAAGTTCTGCAAAATTGAGTCTGATATTCCCCAGCTATATGAGATGTACTTTTTCTCTGCTGTCACCATGGAAAAAGCTGCTTTATTTTTCATTTGCAGCCTTGCACTCTGAGTTATGCCAGTACCATCACTGTGAACCTAAGTTAATATCAGAAATTAAAGTTACATTAAATCAAGTTTGGTGAGTTGTTTTTGACTAAAGTTGTAGCCCTGAATTGAGTTGGTGTAGTCTTGGGGCTTTGCAGGGGCTTTTTTCTTCACACTGCTTTATAAGGTGAGTTAAAGATATCTAGAGTTTTAATTAAATGGGATAAATAGCGTAAATATAGACACCATAGAATATTTACAAACCTAGAGAGCTGCTGAGACAGGCTAGGTAGGAGCTTCCTTTTTCTTGAATGATCTGCAATTGCAGATTCATTTATTCCAAAGGTACACAGTTTGGTTGCAGGAACTGGGTGATGGATGAATCAAAGATGACAGTGTAAATGGTGTCTGCCCAGCAGCCCAGAGGGATCCCTGGAACATGTGAGTTTCTCATTTGGTGATTTTTCTGGCAGTGATGCCTTGGTGCAGTGACAGTTTCTGCTCCAGCTGTCAAGCTAAATTGTTCCTGATGGTGGCTGGTATTTACAATGATGCTGTTCATTTGGGTTCCTCCAGTGAACAGTCTCCCTTGCATGTTTGGATTGCATGAATTGAATCTCTGTGAGGTGCAGGGAGGAATCTCTAGTTTTCCATGAGACCTCTTAATCTGCCTTTCCTGCATGTGATCTCTGGCTTGGCTGTGTATGTGTGGAGATGGATGCCTGTACAACCAGGCTCTGCTTTTCCCTTCAGTTGTTGCCTATTGTCAATGCATGGATTGCCAGGGAATCTGGTCAAAAAGAAATTTGGCTAGCTAAAGATGAACTGAATTATTCCACTGAATTTTAAGTGTAGTATTGGAGATTATCTATAAGATAGCAGAGCCCCTCGTGGAGACCAGAGTTAGCTCAGAGTATGAGTAAGGCTGAAAGGAATCTAACTTTTTTTATTATGATATAACTAACTTTATTTATTGTATGCTCAAGCTTGCAGAAGCCCCTTGATTCATTGTAGGATAGGATATGAAAAGTACGTGGTAATGAAGATGGCCTAAAAGAATGAATTGTACAAGAGCTGGGGTATTTGAGCAGGAGATAATATTTGCTGAAGCTGCACCTTCAGTGAAGTTTTCTGCCTTGTTCTACCTTATAATCTTTTTGCTCATAGAATTTATTTCACAGCAGCTGTCCTATGACCAGCTTCTGTGCTCACTTTTAGGGGATATAAGACTCCCATGAACTAAGGTGGGCTTTTCTCTGTGCTGGTTTGGGGCAGTATTTGCCCTTTGTCGCTGGCAGTAAAGAGCATAGGCTGTGTGTGTGGACCAGAGTTGTCCAGAGAGGGATTTCTCCCAGTGCAGAATGTGTATGTGTTCTAACCTGTATCTGCTCATCCACTGTAGTTTCCCAGAAGACTTTCAGGATGGCATTGGGGGCATATCTGTGACCAAAAGAGATGGAGGGTAGGATGTGTGTGGTGGCAGCCTATAAATCCCTGCTCTGCACCATAAATCCCTGACAGAATCCCCAGCCCCAGGCTGAGGGGGCACAGTTCCCTCAGGAGGGGGATGGAGTAGAACATTATGGACAGTTTGTGTGACAGCTCTGACTTTGGGGAGAAGTACAACACTGTGAGAAGTGGGGTGCAGCTCCTGTGAGGTTTGCTGCTCTTCAGCTGGTGAGATGAGAACTGAAGAGAAGGCAACTGCACTCTGTCAGGGCTGATCCCAAGTGAGAGCAGCATTTTCACCCATGTGGGATGAGTTCAGGTGTTGTGTCTGCTCAGTGTCTGAGGGTGGTGGGTCACAAAAACTGGGGAGCTGTTTTGAGTAACCACCCTTGTCTGTGAAAATGATGAATGGCAAACTGCATTGGGTGGCAGGTGTGTGTATGTTAAATAACATACAATTTAAACTGGGGCAGAATACATTACTTTAATTTTGCCTAAATGACACATACTGCTTGAGACCAGACTAATATTTCTTTCAAGCTGTGTGAAGGTTTTTACATGAACAATGACTACATCTCAGAAAAAAAAAAATGCTGTTCTAAATGCAGTTTCAAAACCTATTCATTAATGCCCATGTACACACTTTGAGAAATAGTTTTTCCACGTAAAGAAATAAATCAGAAAAATCTTAGATGAATTTAGAAGGTGGTTCTGTGGTGTGAAATCTATTTCTTCCACTAATCTGAAGAAATACCTCTGCCATTTAATCCTGGTCTGTATAATATAGAGGTTAACCTACAGATAGTGCCATGGGGATTGTAGAGGAAGGAGGAGAGGAACAGCCAAGCATGTGATTGTAGCTTTATGTCCCACTTTGGCTAATGCCTCAGATTCTCCTGCTTTGTCACTTGTAGTCTTACGCTCAATAAACATGAAAGATTGGTCTGTAATAGCAACGAATGTATCCAGATGCTTGCACTGTAATTAAAGGCATATATCACACAATAAAGCACATTTGAATGAAAAATCTTCCCATTAGACATGTGGTTCACATTTATTTCCCCTTATTGTTAAACTTCTGGAGTATAACCATTGATGGAGTATGAGGAGGGACTTCTAAAGGGCTGCAGTGTGAAGCTCCCAGGAGCAAAGAGAATTTTCCTGTTGGGTTGTGGGGGCACAGAGCTCCTCAGTGCAGGCTGACCTGCACAGCAGTGCTG